CACACACACACACACACACACACACACACCACCTGTCCCCAGGGAAACATGAAGTACGTTTCCTAATGTGCAGTGTGCAGGCTGTCCTGTTTCATTGTAGGTTGTGCCCTGCAGAAGGGTTCTTGGCTAAAGGGATAAGGGTGGCCTCTGACAAGCTGTTTGACCTTGTTCTAGGAAATGACTCTTTGGAGAAGGGGTACACTTAAAATAGTTTCTGCCAGAAGTATTATGAGCTATAGGTGATCTGTTCTTGTGACTTGTGGTCAAAAATTTCAAAACTCTATACAGAGTTGGGTAGCTGCAAACAAGACATAGCAAGAGTGAGATCAAGACAGGACTGGTTTGGGTGAGGAGAAGAGGGAAGAATAGTATTTGGGTAATTTAAATGGAAAATCTAAGGATAAAATGTACGAAGACCATCAGAATGCAGGCCCTGCCGGGGAGCTGCCAAACTGCCATGATGCTGGGTGCCAGGCTTCTGGTGGGGAAGCCCAAGCCAGGAGGGGACAGTTCTCCATGACATGGGGTCTGGAGGTGCCAGGAACCAGGATACAGGCAGGGAGGTGAGGGCTGTGCTGTCCCTATGTGCAGAAGCAACTGATTATAAATTTATTGCTCCATTAAACATCTTCTCTAGCCATCTAGAGAGAGAAAGATTTCTAGAATCTGAAATTTCTAGACACTTGAAATTGCCAATTTTATTTGTTTTTGTTTTCTAAGTATTATTGGTATTCCATTGTAATTTTAATTTTATTTTCCTAAAAATATTAATGTTGAACATCTTTTGATGTACATATTTTCCATGAGTATGTCATTTTTGTTCAAAAATTTTCCCCATGTTTATTGAGTTTTGAAAGTTCTATATAAGACACATGATAGAACATACTTTGTACTGTTCTGTGGTTTGTCTCTTAATCATCTCTTTTCAAGAGTAGAAACATTAAAGTTTAATAAGGTCTAACTTATCAAAATATACTTAGTTTTTTATAGATCATAAAGATCTTCATTTTAATATTATTTTTATGGTTCTACATCCATTTTTATTTGTACTAATTGGTTACACATGACAGTAGAATGCATTTTGACACATCATACATTAATGGAATATAACTTCTCATTCTTCTGGATGTACATGATGGAGAGTTATAAAGGCTGTACAATCATATATGCACATAGTGTGGTAATGTCCAATTCATTCTATCATTTCTACCACAATATCCCATCCCTTCCCTTAACTCTTCTCTCTAAGTACTTCCATTCTTCCATAGCCCTACCCACCTTATTCTGAACTAAATATAAGGATCTTTTTAACAATAATTTAATTACACAAATTTATTAAGCAACATCTCAGAAAAGTGGGAGAAAGGACAGAGGAGCAGGGTAGGCGAAGCATCCCAGGGAGACAATCTGATGTCTTCTGCAGGTGGGGGCAAAGGAGAGTCCTGATGTCCAAGTGGAGGCAGAAGTGCTCTCAGCTGGAACCCGGCACAGGAACCTGAGGCAGACATCTTGCTCCTGAAGCTCTGCAGAGTCCACATGGCCGATGGCCACATGAGGAGTGAGGCTCCTCAGGGCACAGGTCCTCGGACTGTACCCTGGTTTGTCTGGACAGCCTTCCCTTTCATCGGAGCCACACTGTGTGTGTGGCAGGTCTCGGCGCTCTTACATTGCAGCCACATCAGAGCAAGTCATTGCCCAGTCAGGCCTGGCCATAACTCCCAGTGGTCATCTCCCTTTGGGGCCTCCAGACTGTATTCATTTGCAGAACAGGAATAAAGAAGGACTTCAAACTTTTTTATGTGGGTTATGGAGACTGATACTTACTTGTTCAGGAATTAATATTTGTGTGGAACTTAAAAGTAGTTTTCATTTTCAAATCTATAATAGCTTCTTGCTTTAAAAGACTACAACATGTCTACACACTAAAAATATTCAATTCCTTTTTCTTCCAACTTGGAATAACTGGTTTCAAAAGGATGGTAGCACCTCACTGACATGGTGATACTATAACAGAATGCTCTGTTCCCTAAGACACCTTAGAACAGTAGGAACACCTGGGGGGCTGAGAGGGAGCCTTAAAAGTTCATAGTAATTTCTCCATACAGTCCTATACACGATGCATACGTGTTACATTGGGACAGCAGTACCTGAGGGGGACAGGTAGAGATGTACAAGAAGAGCATTCTCTGGTCCTGAAGCTATGGTGCCAGAGGTTCACACCAGAGTTGTTTTTCTGGCTCATGTTAAAGGCAATGCCAGGGGAACTGTAGAACACCAAAAATGACAGGGATGGAAATTAAATATTTCATGTGAGAGGTCAAGTAGATATGAGAGAAGATAGTCATTAATAGGTACAAGGCCCAGTGAATCAGGAGCTTGCCCTGCTCTCCTTGTAAGGCCCACCAAATGAGCGCCCCTCTCCTGTCCTTATAAGGGCAAAAGTGCTACTGAACCAGCAGCCTGCCCTCCTCTCCTTATAAGGTCACAAGTCCCACTGAAACAACAGCTTGCCTTACTCCATTATGACCTCATCTTAGGTAATCACACCATAATATTGCCATTTTTGAAAAAGAAAAACTTATTCCTAGGTGGGTGATTAGAACCTATGCAAATGCTCTACAAGATAAAATTTAACCCACAACACGCTTATTCCTATTTTTCTAAGAGTTTTTATCTACATATGTTGAATTTTGTCATTTGACGTTTCTCCATCAATCCATACACCTCACACAACTTCCTGGGCTTATCAATGAAGTGCATATCTTTAGTGGGCATGGTCTTGCAAATTCCTGATGCCAAATGATCCAATAACTTTTCACTTATTCCACCTCTTAAAGATTCTACTGGCCTGCATCACCAAACTGAGACCAAGCTGCCAATACTGAGCCATTTGGGGGCAGAACAGGTACCCAACGACAACACTATTTATTATACTGTTGATGTCTTTAGGGTCTATTGTAATTAATTTCCATTTAATACTTGATATTGAAAATCTGCCTTCTTTCCTTCATCAATGTTATCATAAATTTGTGAACTTTTTTTATCATTTGAAGCAAGCAGCTCTTTGTCTCATAGACTTCTTCCATTGTCTCTATTTTTAATATAGTTAATCTCTGATGTTCATTCTTTCTTTCTTCTGCTTGATTTTGGTTTATTTGCTTCTCAACTTCCCACCTCCACAACACCCAAGATTTCCCAGTTGGTAGAAATGATTCTTAATTTGTACCTATTCCTCATTCCTAATGTGTTTTTAATGTTCTCAATTTCCAAGTCCTGCCTTAATTGTATTCTACAAACTTTCAAATGTTGTTTTTTACTAGATTCAGTTTCTATTTTCTTTCTGTTCAACTTCCTTGACCCATAGATCATTTAAAAATGTATTTATTTTCCTAGGTTTTGGAGATTTTCTTTTATCTCACTGTTTTCTAGTTTTGAGTCCTTTGTGGTGAAAGAACACACTGAGTTTAATTTCAATTCTTTTAAATTTGGTTACTTAGCTTCATGGCATTGGATGTGGTTTTATTGACAATTGTTGGCTTCAGTGAGTTACGGAGACTGATATTTACTTGTTTAAAAATCACAATCTGTACAGTTATGTTTTTAAGTCTTATATTTTTAAAATAATATTAGGCTTTAGAAGACCTCTTCATACCTACATTTGAGGTATTCGATTCCTTTTTCTTCCAAATAATTGGTGTCAAAAGGATGGAAGTGCCTTACCCAAGTAGTGATACTGTTGTGGGAGTCAGACATGAAGCACCATATGGCACTCAAAGAGTTGGAGAACTCAAAAACTTTATTTTATACTGGCAGGCCCAGAAGAGATCAGTTTCCAAATTCTGAGCACCCATCACTACTTTTTCACATTGTTAGGCTCTCGAGTGTCATAAATTTTCAAGTCTGAAGATACATTGTAGTACATGGGGCGTCTAAAAGAAAGCATGTTTACAGAAGCAGAGTGAGATAAGGTGAAGGACTGGCTCCTCTTTAAAGGCCTTTCATAAATCTCTAGCCTTGGGCTTGGAGCCTGCACAGGGGCGTTTACACTTCAAAGGAGTTGTTAGGTTCCTAGGGGAAGTCATCTACAGTCCAAAAGATAGGGGTGGATGGTGTTAATCAGGTTCCCTGAAGAGGAACTGACTAGGAAGTGGAGGAAGACTCTCCTTTTCCCAGGCACTAATTCCTATGACAGTGTTCTTATTTTATTTTTCATCCAGGTTGTGGTTTCTCATTACAGGCCTGTACCAAAATGCTCTTGTTCCCTAAGACATTGTATACATAAATTTACACATAAATCTTACTAAATATGTGCAAGATCTGCATGTAAGGTACAAAACACTAGGGAAAGAAACTGAAGAACTAAGTAAATAATAGTAATATATATATACCATGTTCATGGATTGGAAGACTTGATAATGCTGTTTGTCAATTCTTTGCACATGGATCTATAGATTCAATAAAATTTCAATCAAAATCCCTTTATGTTCAAAACACTAGAAAAACTAGGGATAACAGGAACTTACCTCAACATTGTAAAAGCTATCTATGCTAAGCCTCAGGCCAGCATCATTGTAAATGGAGAAAAATTGAAGGCATTCCCTCTAAAATCTGGAACAAGACAGGGATGCCCTCTCTCCCACTTCTATTCAACATAGTTCTTGAAACACTGGCCAGAGCAATTAGACAAAAGAAATTAAAGGCATAAATATAGGAAAAGAAAAACTTAAATTAGCACTATTTGCTGATGACATGATCCTATACCTAGCAGACCCAAAAGGTTCTACCAAGAAACTTCTAGAACTAGTAAATGAATTCAGCAAAGTGGCAGGATATAAAATTAACATGCATAAATCAAAGGCATTCCTTTGATGTGACAAATCCTCTGAAATGGAAATGAGGACAACTACCCCATTCACAATATCCTCAAAAAAATAAAATACTTGGGAATCAACATAACAAAAGGTGAAAGATCTATACAATGAAAACTACAGAACCCTAAAGAGAGAAATAGAAGAAGACCTTAGAAGATGGAAAGATATACCTTGCTTATGGATGGATAGGCAGAATTAATAACATTAAAATGGACATATTACCAAAAGCACTTTACAGGTTCAATGCAATTCCGATCAAAATCCCAACGGCATTCCTTGCAGAAATAGAAAAAGCAATCATGAAATTTATCTGTAAAAATAAGAAAACAGACATCTTGCCACACTTCTTCTCTCAGGGGGAAGTATTCAGTCTTTTGCCATCAAATATAATGCTAACTGTAGGGTTTTTTTTCCCCCCAGATGACCTTTATCTCATTTCCTCCTAGTTGCTGAGAGGTTTTCTCTCTCTTTTTTTAATCAGAAATGGATATTGTGTTTAGTCATCTTTTCATCACTATGACAAAAATTCCTGACATAAACAATGTAAGAGGAGGAAAGGAGGCATCTTGGGAGACATGGAGGTGTGAGATGCTTGAAGAAACAGGTGTTTAAAGAAGACATCAAGAGAGGAGGCTGCTAGGGGAAGCACATTTTTCAGGCCTGATCATTTTGCTTAATGCTGGCTCCAACCATAGTTCTGAGGCAGTGAAAGTGAGGATTTACAACCATAAGTCTATGTTACATTCCTGGCCCCATAATTGCTAGATTTGGATCTCAAAACACAGAAGCTGCATTTAATTGAACTTTGGGCTTTAACTCAGAGCAACATTCTTAGTATATTGAACTGAGCTATCTACAAATTCCATGTGATCTTGGACCAGGCCTTTCAGAAATGTCTTGAGATTGTTTTCTCACTGGCAAAGTAGGATCCTGTTTCTTTGTCCATTGGGTAATTGTGCAGATCAATTGAAATAGTCAAGATGATGAGCTTTATAAGATATATAAAAAAAAACTAAACAGGAGTTGTTATTATGTACATTGACTGCTCCCTGTTTATATTTAGGAGAGCAGAACATGGGGTGGAATCCATGGAAAATTGGGAAAATAGGATTAGACTTAAAAGACTGCCACTAAATGCTGCGTGAAAACCAGAACTCTATACTGAAAGAGGCGTATTTGTAATTAACATGGTACAAACACATTCTGCTTCATAAACACTTGGTTCAACTTAGTAAATAATATCTCTATCCCTTTATAAAGAAGGTTTTCTCCTCCTGATTTTTTTTGTTTTAAAAGTGGACATTTCTTTAAAATGAAGCATTCAAGACAATCCCCCCCAAACTCTACCAGGAGATGCAACCTTTCAATCTCAAAAATCCAGGCCAAGATATTAACAAAATGCAGAAGTTATTTTAAAACCATACAGTAATGGTGAGACTAAAATGGACGATGAGAAAATAAGAAAGAAGAGAGAGAAAGGGAAGGAGAGAGAGAGATGAGAAAAAGATCAAAAGCTTCACAAGCCTCAGGAAGGGAAGTTTAGAAGCTTTTCCATTTCAGGACAACTGCTATTTAAGACTCAAAAGCCCACAATGAGGGTTTAAATGGATGAGCACTGAAGTGACACCATGTCACTATGGAAAACATTGATTCATTAGGGTGATTTTTCACAATGTTCTTTCCAAAGATGTAAATGTTATTTGTTTCAAACAAGGTAAGGAACAACATGGGTCTAAGTCATAACTTCCCCAGCTATTCTTTCTTACAGCATAAATTAATGATCTTGCGGTTTGCACTGACAGATATTCAAAGGTGTTTAATCAGCTGTCTCTGACAAAATAAAGCATTTTTTTTTAGGTTGGCACATTTACAAATAAAGGGAAAAAACCAGCCTGTAATCCCTCATAAAGTGGAGCCACCGTTCA